TTTAAAACCTAATAAGTTTACTTGTTGTTGCGCTTGCAAAGTCCATCGTGTAATATCAATATCATGGATCATTGCCCCTTTACGAATAGCTTCAATAAATTTATCTAACGTGTATACTGAAATTCGTTCCAACTTTTCAAGTCTACTACCACTTACATTCATTTGCTTTTCCCATCGTCGCAATTAGTCTGACATTACTTTCCGAAATCTTAATTTTACAGATTCAATTGTTCTCGGCTTTAACTTACCACTTCTCCAATATTCAACTGCTCCTTTTTTATATTCTGCTGAAATATCATCGATATTACAAACCATTTCTTTTACATTGCGTGCGTAATTTTCTTCATCTACAAGTTCTATTTCTTGTGCTTCTGGTATATCATATGAGTTTAAAAAATCCAACGATTCTTCTTGTTCAATTTCATAGTAGTCTTCGTACATTTCTTTTATCATCTTTTTCATTTTTCTCTGCATAACTTCTTCTATTGTTAGGACTTTCTGGAAAGTCCACGGCAGTAAATACTGCAGACAGCAGTATTATTACATTTCGTGGATTAAACCGCATTATTTTCTAAAAAATTATAAATATTATTTATATGTCCATTTCCAATATAATAATTACTAAAAGAAAAAGAGAAAAGTTTTTATTGTTTATTTCATAATAAATTTGATACCTTCTTATTTGGTTGTCCTTCAAAGGAATTCGTTGAACAAGGGAAAAAACAATTTTGTACAATGTATATATGACGTCTTCCTACAATTGTTTTAAAAATGTCAAATTATAATTATCATCAAATTATAAATATACTTTCATCAAATCCTAACAGTTGAATACTATTTTTCGCCTAGATTAATAAGATGCAATGTTTTGCAATATATTATTCATGTTAACACTGTTGAACACTGCAATTAGCTACAATAGGATCAACATATAATGCAGTTATAAAAAATAAATACTTATTAGCCAATTAGTATCATTAGCAACTAGTAGTACTTATTCGAAATCAAGCACGAAACTGAATTCATTCCAACGATTTCCTTTTTATACTTAAGTGTCAATAACATACGCAGACAAAAATTAATGTTTTATCTGTGTCAGCAAATCTACATATTTTTTACATCGCCTTATCAATACATTATTGATGTCAATATTAAATGGAATTAGCTGATCTACGATGAAAATGAAATGAATAAAATTTTATTAAAGTATTAATTTCTTTATTAATGCTTTATTCTTAATTGTTCAAAATATTTTGTATATTCTTTTATAAACATATCTTCAAAAGTATTTGACAGATTGACTGATTTTAGCAGGTTGACAAAGTCACTATTGCTGTTAATATTGTTATTATTATTATTTACAAAACTTATTTCAATAGTCACTACTGCACTGTGATAAACTGTGTTGCCTTTATCGCTATCTTGCACAATCAACGCAGTATGAGACGAATACGTTAGTACGGAGCGTGTATATAGAGATGTTTTCGTTCATATCTCAAAAATGGTTTTTCGGAATATGATTTAAATACACATCACTGTTTTCAGCGTAAAATGCTCTTTAATTTTTCATATAAAAAATTAAAAAATTTTTGAAAATAAGAGTGGAGGGTGGGGGTATACAATAAATAAATAACTAAAAAAAATTTGTTTTATTATAGTTATCAAGTACTCTTGCAACCTTTCTAGAAATTTTTTTCTATCTCTCATGATTTCGAAGATATTCGCTTCAAAAGAAAAAAACCGATTTTTTTCAAGGGAGGATTTCACCCCCTTAACATGCGACTCAGCACGTATAAAAAAGTGTTTGTTATTTTTGTCTGTAGAACAACATACTAAAAGCTCATTTAAATTGCGACATACAACTGGTTGTGTTTCCTTGTGAGACGATACTTTTCGTAATAAATTCTTCACAGTATTAAAAAAGAAAAAGAATATAGATGCTTTATTAAATTGATTAGCAATTTAATATCATGGTATTATTATTCTTATTTATCCTTAAGAGTTGTATTTCAAGACCGAAAAATCATTTTAGCACGCAGTTTGGAGAATTTGAAAATGTACATAAAATTACACAAAATATTCAAGTACGAAGATTTAGCTGTGATTAAGAAAAGGCATTGTTTCTATTAATTTGTATATTTATATTACATTCACACATTTGATCTATAGGAACTTTATTTAATGTAATAAATTTTATTTGTTTATTCGAAGAACTATTGCATCGCGGTTACAGTTAAAAAACGAAGGAACAAATTTTCACTATCTGAATGAATTTTTGGATACGCCAATCAATTTTTCAACAAATGATGAGATTAATAAAAGTTGTTAAAAAAGCAGCAACAACAATATAATAAATTTTTTCTGTATCTTTATCACATATTTAATATATAAATTTAATATTAAAATTTCACATTTTCTATACATTACAAAAAATTATTACCAATTCATTACTCGGAAATTAATTTCTTTGAATTTGCAAGTGAAAACTCTAAGAGAAGGACAAGAGAAAATTCTAAAAAAAATTGAGCCCTTTTCAAAACAAAACACTCGTTCTCAAAGCCCCGAAGAAGTCGAAATTATTGATATTTGGACAATTTTCCATTAAAAGATGAAGGGGCTCTACAAGAATTAGAAGCTTAAGAAAGATGAAAAATATAGAAAAAAACTGGTAAATATAAAGGATGAATTCACACTTTGACAGAAAAGCAAAAAGTAAAAAAGTAGAAGCCAATCAAAACTTGATCTGGTAGTATGCTTACTTGCTTTGATAGTGTTATTACTATCAGTGCGAGTTCTGATTGTCTTCTGCATTTCTGTTTTCTGTTTTTCTGTCAAGATGTGAATTTTGCCTAAATCTCCCAAAAATATATAAAATAATCTTTGGACGAAATTAGAGTTATATGCAAACATGTTAATAAATGGTTATTTAAATATATAACATTTATTATATGCAACAGATTAGAGAGTTAGCAAACCTAGAAGGCCGAGATATGAAAAATTGTGCTTTAAAAATAATGCGGCAAGCGTTTACAAATGAACTTGCCATATAGTTGGGTTGGAGGCAAAAAGAAAAATGTATTTATAGACTTAATGATATGCGAAGTTATACTTAGTAAGTTATGAAGTATAAAAATATGTAGTTGGTCTGATTTAAAACATATTAACTGCATTATTAAAATAATATTGTTTCAAGTGCGCTGAGAAAACATTTATCAGAACTTCACGGAGGAAGAACTGTCAGCACCAATAAAATGTTGGCTCGCTCACGCCAAAGAGCGATGTTCAAAAACTGTGCCAAATTCGCAGAATTATTGGGAGTACAAATAAGTTTCCGCCGTTTGACAAAAGACGGTGCCACTAGCAAGCTATGGTTAAAATTGTCTGATGTAAAATGTTATATCGTAAGGTTGGACATCTGTCAACAACATAATCTTGAAATACTAGCGATTTTGTATCAGCATCATATATTTTTTTTTGTGCGAAAATGAGTTTTGAGTCGAATAAGCATCATTTGCGGGAACTTTCGATTTACTTCTTTAATTTGAAGAAATCTGCAGCTGAGGCTCGTCGATTGCTTGTAGTGAGGCATATAATGAGGCTGCCTTAAGTGAGAGAAGTTGTCGTGAGTGGTTTCAAAAGTTTAAGAACGGTGAATTTGACGTCGAAGACAAAGAACGTAGCGGAAGGCCGAAAGTGTATGAAGACGCGGAATTGGAAGCATTATTGGATGAAGATTCGTGCCAAACGCAAAAAGAACTTGCACTTACATTAGGAGCGACTCAACAAGCAATTTCACATCGTTTGAAATCATTGGGAATGATTCAAAAGCAAGGGAATTGGGTTCCATATGAACTGAAGCCGAGAAACGTTGAACGCCGATTTTCCATATATGAAATGCTGCTTGTCATAAACGAAAGGGTTTTTTGCATATAATCATTGGTGATGAAAAATGGATCCACTACTCCGATAATCCGAAGAAGAGGAAATCATGGGGATCACCTGGCCATGCTTCAACATCGACAGCCGAGCCGAATATTCATGGAAAAAAACTCATGTTGTGTATTTGGCGGGATCAGCTTGGTATCGTGTATTATGAGTTGCTCAAACCGAACGAAACCGTTACTGGGGCTCTCTACCGAACACAATTGATGAGATTGAGCCGAGCACTCAAGGAAAAACGCGCCCACTACTACTCCAGGCATGACAAAATTATTCTCCTGCATGATAATGCTCGACCATATTGCGGCGTCGATCAAAACCTACATGGAAACACTCAATTGGGAAGTTCTACCCCACCCGTATTCACCAGACATTGCCCCTTTCGATTACCATCTATTTCGATCGATGACGCATGGCCTGTCTGAGCAGCACTTCACATCATGTGAAGATACCAAAAATTGATATGAAGAAGCATAATATGATATTTAATTATTATATTAAGAGATTATTTGTAATAAAATATCAGGCAGATTCATACATAAGTTTAATATCTATAATATTTTAAACGCTGAAGTTTTGAGCAGTATTCGTATTTTTTTTTGTATTCATTTATTCATTACTTTTTCGTTGTCCTTGGTACAAAATTCGTTTGAAAGAATGCAGTAATATGTGATGTTCAATTATTACTTGTAATGAAATGTCAGATTGAAATATTACTTGTAATAAAATATCATATTGGAATATTGATACAGTCATATTTTTGTATAAAGAATGAACTGATTCACAATAAAATAAAATAATATAAAACTTAATATAATAAAATTCATATAATAATATTTATTTGAATTTTTTAATGTTTTCAGGATGCTTAGAAAAGAATCCCATACAGCACAGAATTTGCAGCAATATCGCTGCAAAATCTCTGCAATATTGCTTTAACATGTAATGTTGCTGCAATGTTGCAGCAGTGTTGCTGTAACTTTTGTGTAACTTTGTGCTGTAATAAATTGTAAGGGGATGTAATAAATTTAGAAAACTAAATAATGGCTTACAGTTTTTCTGTAAAGTTAATAGTATTTGAGTAAAAAATTATTAAAGATTTTTGACAATTTTTAGTAATTAATATCTTGTTAACTATCGCGAAAATTGTAAAATGGTAGAGGACTTTTCTTTTCAGTTTAGTCTGTTCTGCCCCTATGCGAAAGATTTTTCAATACTTTCCAAACATCCTGTATATTTAAAATTCTTACGTAAGTATATAGAAACGTTTATGATTTTATACTTTTTACATAAGAATTTTAAACACTGACTTTTTGTTACAAGCAACCTGCGTGTGGTTGTATACTCCTTTTCTTTATTGTTTATATAAACGTAATATATTTTAAGAATATTCTTAAAATGTCACGAGAATATACTCAAGATATTATGTCCATAGTAACATTTTTTTCAGTACATCCTCAATAATATTATGAGAATATTTTAAAATATTCTTAGAATATCACTAACGATATTCTGAGGATATATTGCGAACAATGTTGCATTGTTGTGGACGTAGAAATATCCTGAGTATACGAGAATATTCTGAACATATATCGTAGTGTATGTGTAGTATAGTGTACGAATATTAGATGTGATTGTTTTATTATATTCTCAGAATATTCTCAGAATATAATGTACTATCTGGGAAAATCACTGCTTTAGAAACAATTCACTACTTTAAACACACACGCATTTACTGCTAATGCAGAGGATTGTTTAAAGTAGTGATTTTGTGTGTTTAAAAGCAATGAATTTACATGATTGCAATAAATTTCCTAACCTGAATAGTAAACTTTATCAATACTAATATCACAGTCCACGGAGCAGCAATGCTTTTTTCTGTCAGATTCATTATGTCCAAAAATACGTCGAATAAGTCTGATTTCATCAAAATCGATGATGACAGAATTCTTAAGTATTACTAATGATAATTATTTACGTTTTATTAGAGAAATAAATAGACGAATGTTATTATCTA